GAAAATGGAAAATAAAAGAAATAAATAAAATAAAATAAAAGGAAAAAAAAATAATTAGGTTGTGAAATGTTTATTGAATAAATTAAGAATTTTGGAATGAGAGGTTAGGGACCTTGAATATTTCTCGTTTAGTCTGAATCGAGAAAGGGAGTGTGTGTGTATGACTAAAGTTCAGCGGGCATAGTGAATCTAGACATGGATAGAGTCTGAAACATAATCCAGACGTGGATAGGTACTTGTGAGTGTGAGTCATCTAGCAAACGTACCTACTGTGGTCATTGTAAGATTATTGTGTGTGTGCTATCCATGCGATAAGATGATTCATTTCGCATTTTCTCATAGAGAATATAAACGACATCACGCGATGAAATCATATAAATGACCTTTCGAGTTTATCTGTGATATTTTATATATGTGTGATTATGTTTTGAAATGATGATTGATATTCTAGTGTATTTATGACTTTCAAGAGTATGAGAATATACATTTGAGGCTTGTATATGATATTCGAAAGAATTCATAAGATCGATTAGAAACATGTGAAATAGTAAAAATAAGAACATGAATTTGGCACTGAAATATTTTTATTGCTTTTGTTTCTTACCGTGTGTTTTGCTTGAAATTTTATTTAGGTTGAGAAAACGAGAATACTTATTGAGTTGGTAAAAGTTATTAAATTTTACCATAATATTTTTCAGATGAGAATGAAGAGCCAGTACTGCTGCTAGATGAGTAGAACCTGTAAAAGAGTTATTGTTTTTGTATATTTTGTGCATATTCGAGAAGTTTTATTTTGTTCTATTATACTCTAAATTCTAATCTCGTAATTTGTATATATAGTTACTGTACATACTACATTGGATGTCACTACATGAGATGTTAGGTTGTATTGTATTTTTTTTATCTATGTATGTATATATTTTATGAACTCACTGTATGAAAATGACATGAACAGAAATTGCGCCTCATATCGAGTATCAGAACATGACATATTTAAACGGTAGAATCTTCTGAATCAACACAATGCCTAAAAATTAATTTTTTCTGAAAACTAGATTTCAAAAATTGTGATTCAGGGACCATATCCGCTTTTATATCGACAAACTTTTATAATTCTCATTTTACTCATTATAAAATGAGAATACTACAAAAATAGTACGTACACATTACAAACTAATACTTAAATCCAATGCATTAAAGTCTGATACTGTTTAACTATATTTGGTCACTTTTTAAACGAGCTCACAAAATTAATAGCCTGACAAGTATATCAGGGCCCATAATAAACTCACATGTGAGAAAAAAATCTAACAATTTAACCTTGCCGATCAACTAAAATTTATCATGAATTTACTTTTGACCATGACCTTTTGGGGACTAAATTTTGGTTTGATCCTAATTTTTTTAAAAGGTAAATTCTAATTATTTTACTTAAAAATGATAAATTTTGCTATAAATTTCGAAATGTCTAAACCCATATCTTTAGGCGCAAGAATCTTTGTAAATAAAGCAAGCCCATTTCGCATTAAAATATAGCAAGTCTGGTTCCTCCCCATTTCTAAGTCCATAAAAAATGCCTTTGCGTGCTAATCAGAGCTAAGCCGGTTGGGCTTTCTTCTTTTGACCCATTTGGATTTGTACATCAATCATTTTTAAAAAAAGTAAAACAAGCCCATTTTTATATTAAAATATAGCAAGTTCTCTAAGTCCAGCCCATTTGGATATGTTCATTAAGAATTTTTTTTAAATAAAATAATAATACAGGCCCTTTTTTATATTAAAATATAGCGAGTGAGTCAGAGCTAGGCCAGTTGGGCTTTCTTCTTTTGACCCATTTGGATACGTACATTATTTTCCCAGTTCAAAAAGTCAACGGAATAAGGCGTAAATCATGGGCCCAGTTTCTTGCGGATTAAGGGTCAATAATAATAAATAAATCAATTGGGATGTAGTTTATAAATGATTGGATTCTGAGCTCCTTTTGGTCAACAATGTCAGCTCTTTAAAATTGGGAACCCAACTCTAAAATGAAGCCGTAAGTATAGGGGGCCCTTATGGGGGGAGGGGTGACTGCCCACTTAATGACCCACCACATGAAAAACACACACACGCACTCTCTCTCTCTTTCAATCTTACAAAAATAAAACATATATATATATTATATAATTGTTTCAATGTAACTATCATACATAATATTTATTTAGTCGTTAAATATAATAAATTAATTAAAATTTAATTTTATTTTATTATTATAATTCTATTAATATATTAATAAATTTAGTAATTAAATTTTATTATATTTAACTATCGTTGATTTATAACATATATATATATATTCAAATAAAACAATTAAAATTGAATGATTCTACATTATATATTTTATTCTATAAAAAAAAAAAAAACAATTTGTAATGTCCCTTAATAATTTTATTAATGTACTTTGGGAGTTCAAATTTAATAAATAATCTCTCTAGTCATTCCTATGTTAAAAACTAATGTACATGTAATTTTCAGCTTTATATAATCAACATTTTATTATATATAATAATCACTATTTATATATGCAAGCATCTTTTGTGATTGGTTAAATAATTTTCAACGGTTAATAAATATATATATATATATATAAAATTATTATTATTTATATATGTAAAAATTCTTCGTGTAATACAGGATTGTCGTGTGAATTATAATAAAATAAAATATATAATTGTCGTAACATGAATTTTTTTAATAATTTACAGTCAATAATTCATAGTTTTTAATTTGTTTATTTATGTCTCAATAAAAAAAAAAAAAAGTACAAAAATACACAATTCTATTTAAAATATAATGTTTTTTAAACTGAAATTTACACTATAATTCTCAAGTCATGTGAATAGAATTAAAATATAAACTAACCGCGACTTTAATAAATTAATTTTAAATAATTTAAAGCTAATTTCATTTCTCTTAGTGCGAATTTTTATTTTCTTATATTTTTACGTAAAATAACGTATAAAACTATTTTAAAAATATTAAATAAGGAATCCCACTATATGTGTGTGTATGGAACCAAGAAATCATGATGCGTAAAACTTTAACACGCAATATCTCTAGTATATTCTATTTGCCGCTATATTTATTATTATTAAAAAAAAAAGAAAAAGAAAAAGAAAATCCATTTGCCGCTATAAAAACCCTTCTCTGCTTGCAATTTCAAATTTTCAAATCACATATTTAATCACTCATCCGATACGTAACCGCGCCTTTTACACAGCAACCTCTCGATCATGGCGGCCAAGATGCTGGCATTGGCCTGTATACGCAACGATAGCCATGGCGGTCTGTCTCCCAGGCCTCACTACCCTTCCATGCCCAAATACCCCAAGGGAATCTCCTCTGTTGAAGACGAGAACAACGTGTCCAAGGCCGTGTTCTGCGTGATGGGGATGACGTGTTCTGCCTGCGCCGGTTCCGTCGAGAAGGCTGTAAAGCGGCTTCCCGGAATACAAGAGGCCGCCGTCGATGTCCTCAACAATCGAGCACAAGTTCTGTTCTACCCGACTTTCGTTAACGTACGTAAACCCTAACTCAATAATCCCAAAGTTTCTGATCTCATCTGTAGTATCTCTTTTGGTTTTTGAAGGAAATGATTTTTAAATATTTTTCTTGTTGAAAAATTTGATTGGTTAGTGGTTATCGTTATCATTGATCAAGCTGGCGATCTTATTGCAATGATGTTTTCCTTAAATTTTGTTCACAGTTAGCGTAAACTGATTTTTTTATGTTATTTGAACAACGGCGTGTTTGAATTAGCTGGGATATTGCTTGGTTTACTGGGTTTAATTTGACTTTTGATCTGTAAGTGGGAGTTTCTGTTTTCTTTCTTTCTCTCTCCCTCCCTATAAATATTTATACTGGATCTCTCGAACGAGGTTTCTAATTTTAATCTGTGGTCTATATATATATATATATATATTTATACATGATAAGCATCCATTTTCTTGGTAAACAAACAGAAAAAAAAAGTAATATGGTGGTTTCTGTTCTTCTTTCTTTTCCACTTGATCCCAACACAAGATTTATGCTTTACTTTTGGATGATTGAGAGATAAGTCATGTTTCCCATCATGAGAATGATTATGACGCTTTTTGGTGGCGATCTAAATTCTTTGCATCATTTAAAAATTTAATTTTTAATTAAAAACAAATTGTAACCTTATACGTATATATATAAAGTTAGATGTAATCCTAACACATTAAGTCTCATCATACAATTTTTATAATTAATATAATACATGTATAATATGTATATAAATTTAATTTAATTATTTTTCATATAATACAATCTAATAAATATGAACATATCTAATATATACATTATATATGTATATTTTATTACATAATGCGTACCGGAATTATGGTTATCATTATATTGTATATTGAGTTTTAAGACGTTTAGTAATAATTGAATTAATGTTTGTAATTAATAATATTTTAATTTTACTTAGAAACCATGTATTTAAATTTATAGTTATTAATATATATTTTATGTAAAATATTTAATTATAAGATTTTTAATAAACCATAATAAAATTCTTATAATGTTTTTATTTATATTTATAAAAAAAAAAAACGTGTACTTTCTTTTATTATTATGAATATATATATATATATTTTTATATGACATTTTCGTTTACTGTATATTATAATTAGTACTGTTTTAATTTATATAAGAGAATTCTACATATTAACGATACCAACATGAATATAAATAATTAACCTGATATGACAATAAACTTAGTTTTTATTGAAAATTCTTTTTTCAAGAATAAAATTAAAGAAATTATAATTTAATATCATCATATTAATCATTATTTTAACAAACAGCACAAAAAAAAAGTATTAAGTTTTAAAATAACAAATATATTTCTTTTGGTTTTCTAAGTGTGTTTGAAAACTTTGTTAGCGAGAACAGTTAATGTTTGGTGCTGCAACAATGGCCAGCTTGAATTAGCTCTGAGATTGCTCCATTTAGTTTGACTTCTAAATTTGTAGTGGGTGTTTCTGTTTTCTTTTTTCTTTTTCTTTTTCCTTTTTTTTTTCCCTTATGCGTTAAAGTAATTAGTGGAGGAGGATTAGTTTTCTTTTGCATCCGTCCATCATGTTCTTCTTTCTTTTCCACTTCAAAGATCTAATACTCACGTGGATGGATGGTTGACAGATAAGTCATGCTCCCCCATCCATCGTGAGGCTGTTTATGAGATTCATTTTATGGAGTTGATAATTTTCTTTTTGAAGTAAAAACATTTATTTTATTAATTAAATAATATAATATTTTAACGATAATACATAGTGCACAACTAAATTTGATACTTCTATTACTCTTTATAAGAGTATAAGTTCAAATTTTATCGTGTGTTATTATCATCATATTATATTACTATTGTGTAATAAAAATTAATAAAGTTATAATTTTGGCCATATGAGATTCTTATTAGGTTATTTAACAATTTAATTTAAATTATATATATTTATATATATATATATGATTTTGTTGCTGCACTTTTATTTTTTTTTATTTTAATAAATTAAATAAATAAACTCTTATTAATGTTTCTAAGTATTTTAAATTTAATTTTTTAAAGAGCTTAGAAAAATTTCTTCAAAGAATTATGTGATTAAAAAAAAAAATTGAAGTTATTTAAGTGTTTTTTAAAGAACTTCTCAAGAGAGTTTAATTATTTTAAACTAATCTTGTTAGGCTTTTTAAAGGGGTTTCATAAAAGCCACTCTTTTAGATTAAACTAAATTTTATAGCAGCCATTAGTATCTGATTGATGATTGGGTTTTAGGGTTAATTTGTGTATGCCCATATTAAATTTTATTTTCTTTTGAGTAAAAAATATGTATAACTATTAATTCAATGATACATATTTATCATTAATAAATTTTAAATGAGAAGTGTCCTTATACTAAATTTTTAAACTGAGTTTTAATTGAAAATTTGGGGGTTACAACTTTATCCGATTTTGGAAGGAATCTGGTTTTTGTTGGGCCTGTTTGACTTTCCATTAGACGGAAACAGAACATTTTTTTCTGCCATATCTAAATCAGAGATGAGAATAGAAAAAATAGTTGTTATTCTGCCTCTAATTACTCAATTAATATAAATAATACAAAAATATTCATATTATTTGTTAAATAAAGTTATCAAAATGATTGTCATGTTTAATAATATATTCATTTTAGATATTTATTCCTTTTGTATTGAAGATGTTAGATTTATAATTTTTTTATAATCTTTGTATCAGAAAATTTAATGTAACTACGATTAAATTCAATTTATATTGAAAAACAAGAGAAATAAAAATTCGTTTGGAGAAGCGAAAACAAAAATTTAAGTGGAATACTTGCATAGGAAGAAGAATTCTCCCAATCAAATTAGGTAGCTTTTATGACATACTAAAATGTTATATGACCACTTAATAATAAGTTATTGTTAATACTTGTCAATAGCTATGTCATTAGAGTTACCATAGTTTTTTGTTTTGACATACGTTTTATTATACAATGATAAAATTCGTGAGCTTAGCTAATACAAGCTATATAATAACATCAAATTTTTTCAAATTAGTAGTTCGATATGTTTATTATTTAAAAGATTTAGATAGAAATATCAATGATGATATGGTCCGTTGCTATGTCTATTTTTTCTTAACCAAGGCTATAGGTTGTTTGAGCCGTAAGGTTTGTATCGTGAGGTACAGACTTTATACATCCTTAGAGTCCTCTGGGCTGTGTGTGCATAGAATGTTTTCAAAGGAAAAGGAAAGGCATAAATATAACATTAGATTGTTCGTTGAACAATTAAGCTAAGGGCTTCACAAACCACATTGATCATGATCTTGGTTTGTTTCTTATTTTTTCATATTTTTAACATTGGTAGAAGTAGGATATGTTAGATGGAAAGGTTCAAGAATGGTCAGAGTTGGCTGAGCCCACACAAACAAGAATGGATTGTGATCTTATCTTTTCATGGTGATTATTTCACTAATTTCTACTAAACATTCTGTAGGAGGAGACGATCCGTGAAACTATTGAAGATGCTGGATTTGAAGCAACATTGATCAGTGATAATGCAAATGAGAAATCCGCTCAAGTATGTAGAATACGCATAAATGGAATGACTTGCACCTCTTGCTCCTCAACTGTTGAGAGAGCTTTGCAAACTGTTAATGGTGTACAGAAGGCTCAAGTGGCCTTAGCAACTGAAGAAGCAGAAGTTTATTATGATCCGAAAATTATAAGCCACAATCAGTTGCTGGAAGCTATTGAAGATACTGGATTTGAAGCCATACTTATCAGTACCGGCGAAGATGTGAACAAGATTGATCTTCAAGTGGATGGTGTCCGTACAAATCATTCTATGAGAATGATTGAAGAGTCTCTTGAAGCACTGCCAGGGATTCAAAGCATTGAAATGAACCCTGAGGTTAAGAAAATTTCTCTGTCTTACAAACCTGACATGACAGGACCAAGAAACTTCATTAGAGTAATAGAGTCAACTGGTTCAGGGCGTTATAAGGCAACTATCTTTCCTGAAGGAGGTGGAGGAAGAGAAACTCATAGACAGGAGGAGATTAAGCAATACAAGAGGTCCTTCCTGTGGAGTCTGGTTTTTACCATTCCAGTCTTTCTAATTGCTATGATTTTTATGTACATTCCGGGAATCAAGGATGGACTGGAAACTAAGGTAGTTAATATGCTGTCTGTTGGAGAGATTATAAGGTGGATACTCTCAACACCAGTGCAGTTCATTATTGGTTGGCGATTCTACACAGGCTCTTACAAAGCGCTACGCCATGGTTCCGCCAATATGGATGTTCTGATTGCACTGGGAACAAATGCAGCTTACTTCTATTCAGCATACTCGGTGTTGAGAGCTGCTACTTCTCCAGATTTCATGGGCACTGATTTCTTCGAGACTAGTGCAATGCTCATATCATTTATTTTACTTGGAAAATATCTAGAAGTTTTGGCAAAAGGAAAGACTTCTGAGGCCATTGCTAAGCTTATGAACTTGACACCAGAGACAGCAATACTTCTAACTCTGGACAATGAAGGAAATGTGGTTTCTGAAGAAGAAATTGATAGTCGATTGATACAAAAGAACGATGTAGTTAAAATCCTTCCTGGTGCAAAAGTGGCTTCAGATGGTTATGTTTTGTGGGGGCAGAGCCATGTGAATGAAAGCATGATAACAGGAGAGGCACGGCCAGTGCCAAAAAGACAAGGTGATCCAGTAATTGGAGGAACTGTAAATGAGAATGGAGTATTACATATTAAAGCAACAAAGGTTGGTTCTGAGAGTGCTCTTGCACAAATTGTTCGTCTTGTTGAATCAGCACAGATGGCCAAAGCTCCAGTACAGAAATTTGCAGATCGAACTTCTAAATATTTTGTGCCTTTGGTACGTTGTTTAAAAACTTTCTTTGCTTCCTGGACACAATTTAATGCTTATCTAAGTAGAAACATAGGGTATTGACCTTCTCTAATTATGACTATCTTGCATAGGTAATTATTTATGTCATTTTCAACTTGGCTTGCATGGTTCTTAGCTGGAAAATTACATGGCTACCCAGAATCATGGATACCATCTTCAATGGATAGTTTTGAGTTAGCCCTCCAGTTTGGTATCTCTGTGATGGTTATAGCCTGCCCATGTGCTCTTGGACTGGCAACTCCAACCGCTGTAATGGTTGGTACAGGAGTTGGTGCATCTCAAGGAGTACTCATTAAAGGAGGTCAAGCATTAGAAAGTGCACATAAGGTTAGCATTTGACATTATCTTGCTCTTGACTAACCTTTTCTATGACTATAAAGATTAGTTACTCTCTTTTGCAAACTGAATGCCTGCATCAACATCCTCATATTCAATTATATATAATCTGTCTCTCCTTAGATGTAAGGATGTTCAATGTCTTTCTTCTCTCTCTGTATTATTTTGGTATAATTTCAGATGCATTTATAGGATTTGAGACCTGATAGTCAAATCTTATTAGACTTGTTTCTTAAATTCTCTTCCTATTCTTGCTGTGGGGCCTGCCAGCCTTGAAGCCATAAATCAAAGCATTCAACTGCAGAAGTAACTGTGCTTTTCATTAAAAGTTTCTGATGTTTTTGTAGGTAAATTGCATTGTATTTGACAAAACGGGGACTCTCACAGTTGGGAAGCCAGTGGTTGTTAACACCAAACTTCTGAAAAATATGGTACTTGGAGAATTTTATGAACTAGTAGCTGCAACTGAGGTATGCTTCAGTATCATGCATGTTATATCATTGCCATTTGAAACGATCTATGTTTCAAAACTTCTATTTTCTGCGAAGAAGCATTTTATAGCTTTTATACAGTTGAAAGTGAATTCCAATATATATATATTTTTATATAATGACTTTTTAGCCTTCCGCATCCATAACAGGTAAACAGTGAGCACCCATTAGCCAAGGCTATTGTTGAGTATGCCAAAAAATTTAGAGAAGATGAGGAGAACCCTGTCTGGCCAGAAGCACGGGATTTTATATCTATTACTGGCCATGGAGTGAAGGCTATTGTGGGCAACAAGGAGATAATAGTTGGAAACAAAAGCCTGATGCTAGAAAATGATATTGTTGTTCCAGTTGATGCTGAAGATATGTTAACAGAAACTGAAGGAATGGCACAAACTGGGATTCTAGTAGCCATAGACCGTGAAATTACTGGAGTCTTGGCCATATCTGATCCACTGAAGCCAACTGCTCGTGAAGTCATTTCCATTCTCAAATCTATGAAAGTTAGGAGCATCATGGTGACAGGTGATAATTGGGGGACTGCTAATTCCATTGCACAGGAAGTGGGAATTGAAACTGTTATTGCAGAAGCAAAACCTGAGCAGAAAGCAGAGAAAGTTAAAGATCTACAGGTACATATATTAGTTAGTTAAATTAATTGAATAGTACAATGAGCAAGAAAGAAAAAGAAATGACACAAGAATGCACGTAGTTTCAGCCACTTCTATAAGAAGAATGAATGCCGGGTTCACTTTAAAAGAATTCTGAAAATTACATATGCATTGAAAATTCACATTTGACATTTCGGTTGGTAACATTGACAGGAATCAGGTCATGTTGTGGCAATGGTGGGAGATGGAATCAATGACTCTCCAGCACTTGTAGCAGCAGATGTTGGTATGGCAATAGGTGCTGGTACAGACATTGCTATAGAAGCAGCTGACATTGTTCTGATGAGAAGTAACTTGGAGGATGTTATAACAGCCATAGACCTTTCCAGGAAAACGTTTTCCCGTATCCGTCTGAACTATGTTTGGGCATTGGGTTATAATCTTCTTGGCATTCCAATAGCAGCTGGAGCTCTATTCCCATCTACCAGATTCCGGTTACCACCATGGATTGCAGGTGCTGCAATGGCAGCCTCTTCAGTAAGTGTAGTATGCTGTTCTCTATTGTTAAAGTATTACAAAAGGCCTAAGAAGCTAAACAATCTTGGGATATGGGGAATTCAGGTCGAATAATTGTATTTTTAATTCTTGTGTATAGGCTGAATAATTTGGTGCTACTGTAATAAGCTGCTCTTGTTTCATTTGAAGCCAAATTGTTAGGCCATGCAAATGTATCAATTCTCCTGAAAACCATTACTAGATTCACCTTGATGTCTTGTTTACTTCTCTTTATGCTCCTTAGGAAGATATGGGGAAATTTGGAAAAGCATGGTTACACGTTATTGAATTGATATTATTAAAAAATTAAGTAAAAATACTTGGAAAACAGGAGTCTCAGACATTTTAATTTAAATTGAAAACAAAAACTTACATACTTTAATTTATTGAAAATTTTATTTTACTCCATCTCAAAAACTTATTTTAATTAATAATTTATAAATATTTAAAGTATATATTTAATTATTTATATAAAGTATAATCAAATTCAACTCCAACTGATAGTGATAGTGTTGATTGCTTCATTTGCCATATCTATCGGAACCTTGATTGCTGGGACATATCAATTGTATGAGAAGAATGGGATATTAGAATTTTTTTGTTATGAGTACAACGTTCTCTGATGATTTCATTCTTCTGCTTGGACATGATACATACATGGAAGAAGCTGCTTGTGTCGCAACATAACATAATAAAAAGAGTGCTCGTAAAAGAATGATCCTGCTCTGCTGTTTGGTTCTCAGGAAATGGAAGAATAGAAAATTCCCGTAAATTGTGCTACTTTCTCGCAACATCTCCAGTCCGCCAAAAATATATGTAGCCACAGATACAGCTGGGGCCACGACATGGCTACTTGAACGAGTTACAGCTTCATCATCAAAAACTAAAACAACCAAACCCCCAATATCTACCATTCAACCCTTTTTCTAAATGCCAAAAATTCTTCCTTTATTAGGCCTGAATACCTACATTTTATCACAGATTCTTGAAATATTTTAATTCACTTGCAAGCGAAATTATTCTAACACTGTTCTATCATCACATGAATATAGACACTCTTGCAAGTTCTCATATTTTTGACAGCAGTGTTTTTCTGCCAGAAACACTATCTGCTTCCGCTGACCGCTGCTTCTGTATTCTTTCTTTGGCTCTGAAAAGGATGTTGTGTACCTCATCAAAGTGAGGTCTAGTTGCATTCCTTGTATTCTCTACCCATTGCTGAACTTTCTTGTGAGGGCCGAGCAACCGAGCCCGATCTTTCTCATCCAAAACCTTTGTACAGAATAAATCATTTTGTCAGATATCAAATTAGTGTTTCTTCCTCCAAGTAATTTTCTTTCTCATAGAAACATTTAATAGCCCTCAAAGCACATTGTAACGGCATGACTAAGGCTGGAATCAACATAGAACTTGGCATGATGTACTACAAGTTCCATCCATTTTTTTGAAGTCGAAAACATTTTTTCTGTGTAATTAAACACAAATGTAAGGTATGCTTCTAACAGTCTAATAGCCTGCCAAATTAGGAAATGAATGGTAATGTGGGCATAATGACCAAAACTCACAGTAGGCATGCAGTTGATGCCTCTAGGTGCTTCAATCACTTTCCCTTTCCCCCATTCAAAAAAAAAAAAAACTGGACTGATATGCTTTCAAAATAGAAATTTGATTCCTAGGCATTTAGTATAAACAATGAAGGCATTTAGTATAAACAATGAAGGCATTTAGTAAAAACTACCTTGCCAGCTTAGCAGTATTCTCAATTCATTTTCCTATTTTTCTCAGTTATTCTGGACATGCCTCTTTCCATTTGGTAGAGGTGGGAGATGAAGGGAGTATGCTGCACTACTTTTATTTTTTCTCCAATTCAACCAGGGAATAACAATGTAAAGCATGGAAGCACTGAAATACATCCAAATACCTCCAGTTGCATTATTTCACACGCTAAGCTGAGATCTGCAATGGAAGGTTGATTGCCACCCAACAAGAAACGCCCATTGCCCTTGAGCCAAATGGACTCTATCTTGTACAGAGACGAGGACAACAGTTCCTCCCCTTCAGCAGCTGCTTCTGGATTCAATGGAAGGCCAAAGACAGGTGCTAGCACAGTATTTAGAAGATACTTCACTGAAAGAGGAATTTTAAAGTAAGCCATAGCCCCTCAGAATTGAGGAAAGTAAAGTGACCAACAAATGCACTTTGCGTGGAAGAAAGAGCGATGTTGTAGCTAAAGAATAACCAAAGCACATTATTTTTTTTTGAAATAAACCAAAGCACATTAGTATCCCCATTAACCACAGATGAACAGACACATAAACCTCAGACAAATATTAACCATATATTCTGAGAGCTATTCCTAGAAGTATGGTATGGAAGAAGGCAAAATGAAACTGGAAAATATAACGAATAAATCATAGGTAGGTAAAATTAGATATGTAATTGTGCAATAGGGGAAAAAAAGGACCATGCCATGATATCATCTTAGGAGAGGCAAGTTAGAGGCTCCTATTTCTATTAAAAATCTTAGAATAATCATGGATCTGAAAATCATGTAGAACAAATGGCTCGAAGTTGTTTGCGGTACATACTTGAAATTGTAGCTGCTTTGTGCAAGTAAAAATCCCTGTCCCTATATCATGCAAAAAGTCACAATCTGTTTCACCAAAATTATTGCTCAAGATGCATTTCAGTAATGGTTCAATCTTATTGAATATCCAGATTGTTCATGCATTCCAAATTCTAGTAGTCACATGTAGTAAACTCCTGTAAGCTGTCACAAATCAATGGGAACCATTTCTTTTCTTTATCTAATATGAAAGAATACTGTTTCCATTTATTGCCACATGAATATGTTTTTATCAGCTGTTGTAAAACATGCATTAGTCACTAATTTACTATAGTCCGTGATAGATAGTGTAAACTCTAAACCACATTCAACAAGATAACTACACGGGAGTAAAGGCTATGACAATAGAAACCATCACATCACTAAGGATCCAGTAAAGCTAGATTGGTAGGAGATTTTTCTTCACAGATATACTAGTATTTCACCACCTAGCAAACATTAATATAAGTTCATATTCTATATGAACTGCAATACCTCCACAAGTTTATAATTAGGTCCATGCCACAAAGAA